TATATTCTTACTAAGGCCCCAACATTTAACAAAACTTTTTTAGTTAATTTCCAAGATTATTCACACTAAACTGCCATGTGTTGTTAAACTTTACATAAGACTTGGGGGAAAACTTGGTTGCTTGGAGTGTGAAGAGATTCCTTTTCCATACTGTTTCTGATGTACATCTAAATTCATATCAGAGAACTGACATGGGATGAAGTCTTGGAAAGGTGTACGTCCCTCTTTAGAATTTTTAACTAGTGTTAAAAGCATTAAGAGTAGCTATTTTTAATGTATCAGTGGTTTCACTTGCAAGCCTTCTCCTATGGGATAGTACAATGTGAGCAGCAGCTGAGGCAAAGTGTGAGAGCGTGAAGCTAAGCAGGAGTTGGGGGGAGAGCAGCTCTGGGGAGAGCAAGTGGTAGGTGCAGAACGAGAGTGGAAGTCGTGAAGGAAATGATAGAAAGCCTTGTAATCACTAGAGTTGACTCCTTTTAGAAGTATTGTTCCTTTGCTGTCACATAGGCATCTTTGAAACTAAGTGTCATCTGCTTCAGTGACAGGTCCATGTAGAAGAGGGCACCGCTCTGCAACCGCTTACTCCATTTGCCCAAAGGGTAGAGAATTGGCAGGTGGAATTAAGATTCTGGTGCTTTGCATGACCCATGTGGTGGGCCGGAATGGTGCTATCTGATAGAGTGGTTTTTCTGTTTGTTTAGAACAGCTTGAAACTTTGCGTGTGAAGCTACATTACGTGTTGCATAGTAAGGCCAGGCTCCTGTGTATTTACCCTCAAAATCTAATCATGCATCTGCATGCTGCTTCTCTGTAAGACCATGCTTGGTTTGGTGTGTAGGAGAATGCTCTGGGAATGAATTGGGTTTGTTTAGTTTGCAGCACATAAGGTTCAATGGATTAAAAAAAAAGATTTAAAGAACTGTAGTGGATTAGGCAGGAAGGACTAAATCTTTTACGTAAGACAGTTTTTCAGATTGGCAGTTTTCGTCATGATTTGTAAAGCAAGTTGCTGAATAAGCCACATGGACAGAGTTGTAGGTCACCACGTGTCTTTCTTATATTTTGGGGTCTTAACTTAGGTATTCATCCTGAGTTTACAGAAGGGCTGAATATTTGCAGATGAATCTGAGGTCATGGACATTTCTTTTCTGGACTCACTTGAGGGACAAACAGTCTCTAGCTGTCTCAGACTGAACAACCCAAGTTAGCAGTGTTGCTGTAGTGCGTGTCCAGCTGCCACATGTGAAAATAAGAGTAGTGATGGCAGTTTCTTTAAATCGTATATTCCAAAGGTAAAAGCAGTATTCTTTGGAAACATCTAAAGACTGAGGGTTTGGGAGCCAGTCCCCATGGGAGGGAGGAAGGGAGGGAGGGAGGAAAAATACATGTGGACTGTATTATATTCAGTTTAGGGATTGGTAGGCGTACTGTATATAACGTGAGCCCCGAAAACAAAAAGTGTTTAATAACTGCTGTTGTCGTATTTATTTGTTTCTCTTAAGGTATGTTGCATCCTGCAGAAATAATTTTGTATTAATTATAATTATAAGTTATTGGAATGGATTTGCAGAAGGGTTCTGTGTACTTACTAAATTCTGTGTCTTTTAACTTGAAGGTACGTGATTTGACAACTTCACTATTTTTGCACAAAGATTTTAGGAGTTGTGAGGCTTGCTTTTTTGTTTTTGTTCTGTTTTTTTGCCTTTTTAAAACAAGTTTACTTTTTCTCTTTCCTTTTTAGGCTCTCCCTTGACTGTTGATAGTCCATATCCTAATCCTAGCTAACACCTGGACAAGGTAACTAGTACTTGTCATCTGCTGGAGCAATGGAGAATTTTTTCAATAGACTTTTTTATTTGCATCCAAAGTAATCGGAGTAATATTTGTCTTCCATTATCCTAGGTTTACAACCTCCTAGTATGTCAACCCCCATGTTTCCTTCTGGGAATTCCATGTCTCAGCCTGGTATGCCCATTAGTGGTATGATGGGTCCAGAGATAGTATTTTCTGGAAGGCACGATGGCATCTGCGTATACTTTGCCCAGATTATAGGGTGAGTTGTTCATGTGAAAGAGACACCATCGTTCAGTTAGCTTCATAGCTTTTCTGTCCATTCATGCTTATAGGTGAATTCTATCTTAATAATGCTTGAAACTGAGATTAATAAAGTGCATTTCCTTTCTTCTGGGTTTATTAAGTATCTGTTGATGGTAATACCTTCACTTTACAATTCTACTAATACTACATACTGTGAGTACGTAGAATAGGAAAGTTGCTTAAAAATTTATCTTACATATAATGTACACAACTCTTAAAAACTTCTCTTTATATTTCAGTTCTAGGAAAAGTTCTTTATTTCCTATTAGTGGAAACAAAACTGCAGAAGGACTTACACAGTCAAAATCCTGTCTTAAAATACATTTCAGTTAAGGAGCTTTGAATAACATGTTCAGGTCAGAACAATGAAGTCAGACTAAAAAAGATCTGTTACTTTGCTCTTGGGTCATGTGTTACTAAACATTCCAACCAAGGACAGGTTCTGTGTATGCTGGTTGGCTTTATGTATGCTGGCTGGAAAGTAAATACTCGTTTTGACTTTGGTTGCCTACATGATATTATGGGAAATGAATACTGACCCATATGTAGCATATTTGAGAATATAAAACATGTTTTTTTTTAAGTTCTAAATTTGAAGCTTTGTTAATGTTCTATACCTGTACCATTCAGAAATATCATGCTAATATTCTAAGATTTTTTTTTCTTTGAATAACCTAATTTTTGTCCAAATTAAATCCTTATGCTATAGATCTTGAAGCCAAAAATATTGCTTTTTTTTCCTAGTAAATTGTATGTAAAATACTTGAAAGAATACTCTCTCAACTTTATTTGACTAGTAACATGGTGCCGTTATCTGTTGCAGAAATATTTGGGATGGCAGCATAGCTGTGGAAAGAGTTTTCAAAAGTGGCAATCAAGAAGTTGTTGCAGTAAGTATATGTGGGAAACTGAGAAACCGTGAGAAACTGTGGGAAGCTGTGGGAACGGTGACAGTTAGGAGTGAGAAACTGTGAGAGTTAGGAATAACAGATTAGCAGATAGAGAAACCGAAAACACAGGCTGGACGCACCGATCTCTGGTTGGTTACCTGTTGTCCGTTAGCAGGATTGGACCCAGATAGCAATAGAGTCAAGGAATTGGCTGGAGGCAGGGGGAAGGAGCACGTGGACAGCGCGTGGACACTGTATGCTCACATACTCGGAGAATATATAAGTTTGGTCTGATGCTCAATAAAATGGCTTCTGGTCCTAAACCTTAAGCTCCTGCTCCTTTCGATGACTCCCACAAGTATAACTTTGTTTGTTTATTTTTATTTCTCCATTTCCCTCAAGCCCTCTTACACCATTATACTATTAACAGCTTAAGACTGTAACCTTTCTATGAAGATGTTGCTTTCTGTTGCAGGTAGAAAGCAGTGTTCCATCCCATGTGCTGGAATGTATACTACAAGAGCTAAAAGGTTTACAAGAATTTCTGGATAGAAATTCACAGTTTGCTACAGTAGGAGCCCTTGGAAACCTAAGGTATTATTGAATGTGTTAAATTTACGAACTGTGCTTGACCTATGTGTGTCTGTGTTCACTGAGTTACAGCGTATGTGTGATCTCCAGCTTGAACTGTTCAGCTGCTAGAGCTGAGTTGTTAAACTTAACTTTCAGAATATTCAGTATTTCTAATCATATTAATGTATCTCTTCTGGAATTGCAGTTTCAGCACACCAGCTAATCTGCAGCAGAGGCTTTTGGGTTTCATGCAACCTGATGGTGGAAGTTCTCAGCAAGTGCAACAAGAGCTACAGAGGAAATTTCATGGTATGCAAGTACCTTTGAAGAGGAAATATCAGGGAATGGTACATCCAAGTGTTGAATTCCCTCACTTTTCCTATTAAAACACTAAGTGATAAAAATTTGACATTTGTCAAAATACCATACTTGGGAATTAGTTCTTCAGAAAGAGCACTGCAGCCTGGAAACTAACTTTGTAACATCTTCCTTTTTTTATGCTGTTCCATCACAGTCAGTGTTTCAGCAGTTAATAACTTAAAGTTATTTACATTAACTGTACTGGGGATGAAGCGTGTACGCAGAATGAAGACTCTGATCTAGGGGGAGAAATAGTCCAGTCCTGAGGTTGACTGTAGCAAGAAACTTCATTTGTTACACTATGCAGGTTTTACCTTTCAGTTTGATACTGAAAGCTTTAGCATTGGAACTGATTAAAGCAACTCACAAAGGGAAATATCTGACAAATGTCCAGATTTCAGTGCAGTAACATTCTAGGGAGCCACTGAGTCTGATTATATAATCAAATTGACTCACATGAAGCCATACTTCTTCAGAAAGGGTTCCTCCTGTGTTACATAGTTTGAAATGTTAACAAATAAAAGTTACATGGCAGATTCCTCTAATCTAAAGAGAATCAGATAACACTACTCAAATGTAGAAAATAAAATCATTAACAATGTTTTTGTAAAACCTTAAAAATCAACAAGTTCCTGTCTATTTATGTATAACAATAAGTAACATTATTTAGAACATGTTAAATATGAAGTTAGTTATTGGCAACCTATTTTATTTTTCCAGCTGAGGCACAACTAACTGAGAAGATGTCGCTCCAAGTCATCCAGCAGCTTGTTTGCAAGATGTGCCAGGCTTTAGCTTTGTGGAAACTGCTGTGTGAGCACCAGTTCAATGTTGTTTTAGGTGAGCTTCAAAAGGTACGGTATGGAGCATCTCTTCTATGTGTGCTCACGTTTAGGTCTGAATTTCTTTTGCTGCTTAAATATTTTCAGAGATGTACATTAAAATTCATAATAAGCTTCTCAGGGAATTTAAACAGAATTATACAGACTTTTTGTCAGGTTGAATGTATTTATTTTTAAGAGTAACACAAAGTGTTGATCTTGTCACCCAATTTTAGCCAGTTGGAAGTACCACTAATGATGGATTTAATCTTACCAACAACTAATAATTGATTTGTTTTATAAATTACTATGTGTTTTGTATCATTTTAAGCACATTCTGCTAAGTGTATATGGAGAACAACGGAACAATATCATCCAGCCTAGAGGAATTCGCTCTTCACTTTAGTGTTTGCAGAGATTTTCGATAGTGGAAAGCAATAGCACAGTGACTTCAAATCCTTGCACTTTTGCATAAGCAGGGGTCCAGGATGCCAGTAAGGAAATTTAAAAAACTATGGGTGCTACTACTGTGTACCCTCTGCTAACACTGGATTAGCAGACAGTCTCAGAAAAATGGATTAATTTGAATATTGAGTATTTTGTACTAGCAGAGAGGAGAAATGATTACTTGAAACATTGTATTCTTTATTGCTAGAAAGAGCAATTCTTTTACTTCATAAATGCACATAAGTTGGATCTCTTCACACACTGACTTTGGGACATTTCTAACAAGCTGCTTTTCTCAAGTGTTAGACAACAGTTAACTAACTGCTTAATGAATAGAACCCTTTCCTGTCACTTCAACAATTGTAGGGGTTTCATAATATTTTCATGCTGGTCATTCATAGATGCTATGGGCAAGTCCATGTGAACTAATAATGCTAGCAGTCGAGAAAAAAATGAATAGCCTTCAATGCAGAGTAACATAAAATAGCAGAAGAGCTGGAACATGATAAACTTTCACATCCACTCTTTTTCTATATCGTGTTTTGTGTTCATATGTAGCTATACTTGAATTGTTCCTATTATTATAAAATCAATATGTCATAGTTTTTAATATATTCATCCTGACAGTGCCCTGTGAAGTAGGGAGGAACTACTAATTCCAGTTTTATTTATGAAGAATGGAAGTACAAGTGACACCTAGAGAAGGTTGAAGAGAAAATTTCAGAGTTCCCACTGGCCTTTGGCTTCCCAAGGTCTAGCGCCTTAATTGATAGGTCATTCTTCTCTATTATTTTCCATTTTGCTATTTAATTTGTGTTTAAGGTAATGTATTTCTCTGTTGTGTGTTTCAGTCATTGACACTTGGTAAGTTCTATTTAAAGAGTTAACTTCGCTGCTATAACATTTTCACTTTCCCAATAAAGTTACAACTTGAGTAAACTAATAAGTTTTTGTCTGTCCTTAGGAATTTCGAGAACACCTAAAGATCACTGCTTTCAAAGACTTAGTGATTAGAGACCTAGAGTTGACTGGAGTACTCATTGGTTCCCTTATAAACTGTTATATCAGAGATAATGCTGCTGTGGATGGCATCAGTGCCCATTTGCAAGATATTGTCCTCTTCTCTATAGCACTGATGATGCTGTCTGTTCCAAGGTAATGGCACTTGCAGACTTTACAGTGACAAAACACAGTTTGGAAAGCAAGGGGGTCCAATCTGAACCTCGTGACCCAACGGGAGGGTGTCCTTGGTAATTCTGTGTGTGTCTTGAACCTCCACGCAGTAACTAATAAGTGACCTTGCCATAGAATCTCGTGAAACCATTGTCATTACCAATAAAACCTATTCCTATTTCTTTCCCACGAGTGAAGTGCATTGTGTCATTCACCCCCACCACCACTCGTACCGTGGCACATCTGTTTGTTTCAGATATGTAGTAAAAATTTGTTTAGCAAAACACTTTAGCTGTGTGCAAGCAGAGAGTAGATGACTGTGCTTTTGCAGATGAGATTTTTATACCACACGTGCCGTTTCAGAGAGAGTTCTGAATCACTGTTTTGGGTGGAGGAAGCTAGTGTATGTTTTAACTGAACTGTTGTATCAGTCAAGATTTCAGTCTGTGTTCTTCAAATAATGTAATTTCAGACTTAACCTTACAGGCTAGTCACAGACGTAAATCTTAACAAGATGCAGACTAGAGGAACTAATATTCATTTTCCTTGCCTGCTAACACAAGAAGTATTTGATGTCACTTTACTATTTTGTCATAGATTCAATACAATAATGTTATGCCATGTTATTTGTTGCTATTTCTAGTGCATTTCTATGAGGGAATAGTGGAACTCTCTCTTACTGCAGCTGAGAAAAAAAAGATCCCCAAGGTCTTGGCCTATATTTCTACAAAAATGGAGAACCAGAAGAGGATGTTGTTGGACTCCAAGCTTTTCAAGAGAACACCTTTATAGCATTACTTAAAATTATAGCATCAGAACACCTTTATAGCATTACTTAAAAGAAACTGGAAAAGTAGCTCCTTTACAGAAGGTAGATGCTTTTCCCCAATGCACAGTCCTTGATTATGATTAAGTCTATTGATTATCTGTGCAAGCTTAATTTTCAACAAAGCATAAACTGATATTAGGACCACAGATGCAGAAAGTGTTATGATCTCAACATTGCAGAAATAGAATCACTTTAAATTTGTAAATAAACTCTGCAAAAAAAAATTCCCATAGACTGTTAAACCTCCTCAACTAGATAGAAAGAAAAAATAATTTCATAGGTATTGAATTACATGAGATATACTTAAGAAATATTTCTTAGAAAAATTATCTAGAACAAGCTAGAGAGTATCAACTAGCTAACAATGTTTTATGTTTCTTTTATTTAGTACCTATGTTTCCAAAAGCATGCAATAACAAAATTTGGCAGAAGTATTTCATACATGGTTGCAATGTAAACTGTGATCTTTTATTCTCTTTTTGCACTATTTGCAGACTAAACAGCTACAAGTGTATCACTGACACCCTCCAGGAGTTAGTGAATCAGAGTAAAGCTGCTCCTCAGTCTCCCAGTGTGCCCAAAAAGCCAGGTCCTCCAGTGCTATCTTCTGACCCCAACATGTTAAGCAATGAAGAAGCAGGACACTATGTAAGAAACTTGCAAAAATAAAAAAAAATAATAAAAAAAAAGCCTCTGACTGTACTCCAAAAAATGTTGGGATTTGCAGGCTGTGCAACTTATTAAAAAAATAAGGGTATAAATTGGCAAAGTTGATAAAAGTCAAGATTTGGCATAAATTGGTATGTGTATATAAGGAGTGTTCATAAAAATGATGATATGCGCATAACATACAAGTAGCACATGAATATAAATATTCTTAAATACATATTCAGTGCTTGGTGCCACCACAATGAAAACAATGAAAAGGGCTCATTTCTGGAGTAACAGCTTTTGACTTATCTTCCCTTAGTTTGAACCAATGCTAAAGCTGACTCAACACTCAACAGATGAACTGTTCAGTATTGCAGTTTACAACTGGCTGATACAAGTTGATTTGGCTGACAAGCTCCTACAGGTGTCCCACATCTGGAGTATTGTGTCCAGTTCTGGGCTCCACAGTACAAGAGGGATGTGGAGCTGCTGGAGAGAGTCTAGCGCAGGGCCACAAGGATGATCAGGGGCCTGGAACATCTGCCGTATGAGGAGAGGCTGAGGGAGCTGTGCCTGTTCAGCCTGGAGAAGAGAAGGCTGAGAGGGGACCTGATCAGTGTCTATAAGTACCTCAAGGGAGGGAGTGAGGAGGATGGGGCCAGCCTCTTTGCACTGCTGGCCACCGACAGAACTAGAGGTAAAGGCCACAAACTGAAGCATCAAAAGTTCCACAGGAACTTAAGGAAATAATTTTTTAAAAGTGAGGGTGACAGAGCGCTGGAACAGGCTGCCCAGAGAGGTTGTGGAGTCTCCTTGTCTGGAGATCTCCAAAACCCGCTTGGATGCAGTCCTGTGCCACGTGCTCTAGGTGACCCTGCGTGTGCAGGGGGGTTGGACTAGATGACCTCTAGAGGTCCCTTCCAACCTTCAGCATTCTATGATTCTATGTCATCCGGTCTATTCAAGGAAATAATTTCTTGGATGATTTCATTGGCTTAGAAGAGTTATAAAAATGCCTATGTTTTAAAAAGGAGGAGCAAGCAAGAATATAAATGTTTTTTTTAATATAACCTTTGCAGGTGACTGCTCCCTTTTTGGAACTCTACCTTGTGCAGATGACTAAGATTGACCAAAATGAAGTCCATTATATGGATTTACTGTGGAGATACTTTGAAAAGAACAGAAATTTTAGTAATGCAGCCAGAGTCTTGGCTAAATTGGCTGACCTGCATAGGTATGGATCATATGTTATTTATTACTCATATAGAGGTAATGGAAAAAATGAAACAAAATTAAATGCTAAGGTATTTTAAGAAAGGGCAAGGGTAAAGAGCAAGGACAAGAAATGGCTACTGCCCAAGAACCCTTTCTGAAAGATTTTTAAATTAATATAGCATGTTAGCTTTTAGAGTATGACTAATTATCTGTGGACGTTTATATAGATATAGCAATATGGCTTCGTGCTTGACATAAGCTGACTTGGCCAAACTTAGGCTTAGGGCCTGGCACTCGGAAGATCTCGTGATGTTACGGAAAGCAAAGGGTCAGCAGAGATTAAGGTGAGTCATAGCCATATAAGGTAACATTGTTGCTGATTGGTGGCAGAGCAAGCTTCTGCATTTGAAAGGAGTATAACTGTAGTGAGCAATAAACAATAAACGGCACTCCAACCATATTGGTGTTGCGTGGTTTGTCCCCTAGCGGGGTAGGATGGCCCCGGAGAGCCCGATCTCCGGGTGAACACGTTACATTGCTGAGAGCTGAGACCGGAGACCGCGCGGCCGGAGACAGCGAACGGCAACACTATCAAATTTTCAAAGTGTCGATTTTATACTTTGAATATTTCTTCTGCAGCACAGAAATTCTCTTCAGCAGCGTCTTGAATACATCTCACGTGCCATTTTGAGTGCCAAGAGCTCCACTGCTATATTCTCTATAGCTGCAGATGGTGAATTCCTACATGAACTAGAAGAGAAAATGGAAGTAAGAAAAAATATTTAAGCTACAGTGCCAATATATTTGCTTAGTCTCATTGGAATATGGCATCCTTATTACCAACTCTTGAGAAAGTCTTCTGTGCCTTGTTCCTAAGGTGGTCAAATATGCAGTTGATAAGACTCTGAGGTATTATAAAGTAACTTTTCTATATCTAACTATGTGGAAGTTAGGATTAATTTAATTTATCTTGAAATGTTGTTTTAAACAAGGTTGCAAGGATCCAGCTTCAAATACAAGAAACACTACAGCATCAGTATTCCCACCATTCTTCAGTGCAAGATGCAATTTCCCAGCTTGATGCAGAGCTGATGGATATAACCAAGGTGGTTAGAAATTTCTCTGCATTAAATATGAATTTATCATGTGTTTGGGGGCAGGGGATGGAAGCTTTGCAAAGAATGGTCTTGGTTTTTGCCAGAAAAAGTCACAGACAGTTCATTATTCCTGGTCTCAGAATGTCTGCATGTTACCCAGATTTTTCTGTTCTTTGATGTTCCATCTATCTTTAGTATTTTAATTTCTTCATGAATTTATCTTCTCTATGAAGTTAGTGGCTAGTTTTTTGATTTATTGGCATGCCATGTTTTAAAAAAAAAAAAAACTCTTGAAGAACCTTAGAACCTCATATAAAATGAGGATTGTATTTGAGATATGAAAGGAAACATATTAAAAATGATTTTTCACATGGTATTTGACAACAATTACTGATGTTGCACATTTAGTCTGATGAATACCATACAAAGTAAAATTTATTTTTAAAAATTTCTACCCTTCTTAATGTGAAATCTGGTCAATTTTCTTACAGCTTTCTGGAGAATTTGCTGATCCTTTTAAGCTCTCGGAGTGTAAGCATTGTGCAGGACATTCTGATCCTATCTTGGTGCAAGCTCTCTGGCAAGGAATCATTAAAAAAGGTAGGTCTTAATGGACTAGAAATGGTACAAGCTGTAAGGATAGGAAAATGTTATCATTAAAACTTTTAGGATCGATTGTGTTGTGCTACTGTTATCCTAACCAGATGAGATGTATCTTTTCTTGAAATTCTGTAGTATATTCGGTAAATCTGCTTAATTATTATTTAATTAATATGTATAATATTGGCTTTGGTGCCTAAAGTTTAGGAAAGTATATTATTTGTACATGTATTTTAGAGCACGCATTAGGAAATTCTGTTAAAAATGTTAACTCTATCCTGACAAACACTAAGGAATCTCAGGGAATTTAGTCGTTTTGTAATGTTGCCAGCTTGACAGCAGTGGAAACTATTTTGTCTACTTATGGAAAAAGGGAAGGTACTGGGCACAGTTGTACAAGCCTAGCCTCTTAGCTCTGTTAGTTAGTCTACCTATACCATAAATATATATATTTTTTTTTAATTGGGATTTCTGCTGAAGGTTGTGAGTGTGCAAGCAACAGTGCCTGTGATTTGAGGGACAAGCTGTATGGTAGTGTGGTTTGGGGATAACTTGTTTGTTTTAGCAGTCTTGCATAGAACTTAAAGGAAATGAAAATCTGTGAATGCACATGGATTCATATTGGAGAAAAATGTAATTTCACTTCTGCATGATGGCCTTGCATCGACAGAATAGCATAAGATTTTTCTTAAGGTGCTAGTGGTAAATGCAAGTAACAGTATTTAATTGTGTATAACTTTGTTTCGTTTTTGAAGTTCTCTCTGCTTAGTAATTTCTCTCTTCTCTTTCAGAATTGAGTGACAGCGTGTCCCTGAGCCCTGCTGACAGAATGCAAGCACTTAGTCTAAAAATGGTGTTGCTTGGAAAGATATATGCTGGCACACCTCACTATTTTCCTCTAGGCAAGTGGTTTAGCACTGTATGGTGAATAAGTATGTACAATATGTGACATGATCTTGGCTTTCTAGTCCCTTAAAAAAGGTTCCAAGCTAAGAAATGTTTCTCCCTTTATCTTCTAAAAGGAAGGAATATTAATAATTTTATTTCCTTTGGTGCTTGAGACACATAATTACTTTAGCTGGAACAACAAATTCTTTCAACCATTATCAGCAGTGAGAAAGTTATTCCTGAGAGTGGCTGTATGGTGCTGCTCTTTTTTTGTGTAAGAAATTAAGAATAAAAGCATTTTGATATTTTCTCATTATTACAGTGACTTTGACAAGGGACTGAAGACAGGGAGGTTGGGGTGGGGTGTGGGGAGAGAGTCTACAAAAACATTATGGTTTTTACAAGTGCAGTTTACCTAGAATTTTTCTAAGGATTTATCCAGAAATTATGATTTTTTTACCGAGGTGGCAGCAAGTAAATGAATCTTAAAAGGCACCAACAGTTGCTTTTGGATAGTTATACAGACAGGTTAGAAAGTAGTCGTGTGTGTGTGTGTGTGTGTGTGTGTGTCAAAGTACAAATTAAAAACGCATACTTATGCCTACATATAATAAGCCTTAAGTCAGCCGCTTTCACCTGCTGTCTCCTACTGAATTAGCTGCTGATATCTGCAAGGTTGGATTTATAAAGCAGAATTCCAGACATCTCTGGATCCTTCTGGAGCTTCTTTCTGCTTTTGAGATGCTCGTGTATTCTGAAAACTTGTTATTGTATAAAAACATGGGAAAGGTCAGTTTACAGTATTAGATGCCCTTGTACAGTACTGAAGTACTGTTACTGGCAGGAACTCGATAAAGATGCACTAGTGTTGCAGACAGAGAGAGGGCTGGTCTGGCAAGTGAAATGTGTGTGTTGTTTTGTAGCTGCTAAAAGAGAAGAGGTTAATGAACTTTCCTTACCAACGTAGTAGAAGGGCCAAGTGCTCAGTCTCTTATACATTGCTAGTAACTTAAAATCATCTCTGGAGGTAGGTACATTTTTACATGCTCTTCCCTCCACAAACTGGGGTAACTGTTACCTGAAACCTGTTTGATCTGCTTCAAAGGTGAAAGGTGCCAACTGTGTGAAAGACATAAATCAGACCAGGGGCTAGTAAGTCACTCTCAAGTGCTTTTCTTTGTTATATCTGTTTTTTCTCTTTTTCCTCCAGACTTTATAGTGCAGTTTCTGGAGCAGCAAGTTTGCATTTTGAACTGGGATGTAGGATTTGTGACATATACCATGCAGGTAATTGGAGTGTCATTGCCAAGACTGCTTGAAGTCTACGACCAGTTGTTTAAAGCACGGGTAAGGAAAATAGCTACAAAGTAAAATTTTATTTGCATCCAGCATCAAAGTCTTAATTTGGCAGGAAACAGTGTGATATGTCAAAGTATCAACTTCAGAACTTCCATTAACTTTCTGATGCTAATGGTGCAGACAACTGTTGGGAATTTTAAATCACTACAGGCTAAATTAGAATGTCTTCACTGATTGACTAAGATATTAACAGAACCATTAGCCCAGATAAAATTAACTATAAAATAGATGTTCAGATGGTGTCTGCGCTGAAAAAATTCTGAGAAAGTTTTATCTCCTGCTGCAACTATTGATTGTTTGGCCTGTAACCCTGCTAATCTAAAGGTATCTACAAATTGTAGAATGTAAATGTGACAAATTAAGTTTATTTTGCTACTACCATTTTTTTAACAATAGAAAACTTTTTTTTCGTGCTGTTGAAATAAAATGCAATGTATGATCTTTCCCTTGAAGATTAAAATTATTTGGAAAATATATTTTCTTTTTCTTTACTTAACATAAAGCAGTGGAAAAAAGATATCAAATCTACTTTATAGGTGTTTTACAAATATGAAAACAAGAAATGAGAACTGCACAAGCCAAGAAGATGATAAAAGCACATGATGGAAGAGAGTCAGGTTGTAAACCCAGTCATGTCAGGGAGTAGTGATAGAATTTTAACTCTACCTATGCATGAGCTTATCGGCGAATCTTTCAATAAAGAAGTAATAGTTATGAAACAATGAGTTTCTGTAATGTCACCCCAATTATATTTACAGAAATAACACATGAAGTTGAATCTCAAGTGAAAGAACAATATTAAAAATTCATCAAATTGTTTTTCCCTGTTCCATTTTAATAAAGGGAGTGTATCTTAGAGCTAAAGAAGGCAAAAGAAGCAACTTCAGTCTACTTTTGTTACATGCACACAAGAACTAACTTAGGTATATTTCTTAAAATGAGCAAAACCTTCACATTATTCTATCAACATGCTATTTAATCTCATCCTACAGCTAAATGTAAAGAAGTTTTGTCTTCATTTTACTACCATGCATTGTGTACATATTCTGTAACATGCAAAAGAAATTGGTCCTTAATCTTCCTCAGGTAACTTAACCTTTTCACATAAGTAATCTATCAGAGAAGTGGGAGGTATTTTTTTTATTGGAAAAGAAGAAAATATCTTTGTTTATACATAATAAGTGATATAATCTTTTACAAGGAGTATGTGTATAGTTACTTATCACAGCTGCTCCAAAACAGAAGAAAGTTGTGAATTAAGACATTTATTTATATTCAAGTTACCTATGTTGAATCTATCCTTCCTGATCTGAATACTATGTCCTAAAGTTTTGTTTAAAAACAGCCATGAAATTTCTGACTTTGTAAAACCACCACCTACATTCTTATGATTTTCAGGAAGGTAGTGTGCCCAGTAAACTAATAATGTAAATTAGATTTTTTTTTGTAACCTTTCCTGTTAGATAAAAATAAAGATGACATCTTAATACTGACTTTTCTCTTGGTCAGTGTTGAAACTTCCTCGCCAAGTATTTAAATAGAGTAATTTCCTGGGAAACCACTTATGCCTTTTTTTTTTTTTTTTTTTTAACAAATACTATCCTTAAATTTTTCTGCTGGTAGCCTTGGTGTGATACATAGCTATGATTTGTATTTGTCTTGCTTCGTTGCTGTAGGTCTCACCAATGTTGCCCTGAGTTTTGCCTGCGATATTTAACTTTCTTCTAGTATTTGCACAGGAGTATGTTGTGTTGAGCCATATGTTTTGTAATCCACATCTACACCTTTCCATGATTGAATCTGCAGCAATGACCACAGATTTGGGAACAGGCAAAAATTGCAGATCCACTGTTCAGGCTCTTCATTCTTAGTTTACAGAGTAAGAATGCTTCTAGACATGCTGAGTTTTGCCTGCAGGGCATTTCAAGGTTTATAAAGAGTTAGCTTTGGTATTTTCAGATTGTTACAGTTAATTTCATTGTTAAGATTGCCTTTCTGTTTCATAGTTCAATGTGGATGGGTTCAATTTGCATAGGTTCTCTTATTTAAAGGTGGAGGGATGTGGACATCTATGATGATGAAAGGGAGAGGTGGGTTAATGCTGTAGATCAGACATCTGCAGGGAGGTGACCTCTGTGAACCTGACCCACGTGAACCTTCTCCAACACAGCTCTCAGTAAAGGGGTGATCACCTTGGTCGCATTTTTAAATTTAAGGAGAATTAAATATGTTTCTTGAAGGTGGTCAAACACAAAGTGAGGGGCTGCTGCCACCTCTACTGGCGCTAGCTCCTCTAAATCCCCCTACTTGGCAGGAAGTGTTGGCTTTGCCTAGAGCTGCTTAAACCTGTCCTCCTGCCTACAGCAATCTGCCTGCGTGCCCTGTCCAGGGCACATATTTTCTATAGCGCTGCCCTTGCTTTCTACACCCCTCCCGTGGTGCCAGGTAGGGGAGAGCTGCCCTCAGGGCCGGAGGCTGCATCGCCTCCCTGCCTGTCTCCTGCCACCTCTCCCAGCTCCTTGGGTAACAAGGACAACACAATTTCCCCCCACACA